GTCAAAAAAGTTATATGGTCTACACTGACACAGAAGGCTACATTATAAAATATGGATGAACAGTTGTCATGGTAACTATTTGAGAGAGAGGAAAGAGCTCTACACAAATGCTCAATGACCAGAAGAAATCCTAATTTACACACCTAGGCATGTCCCTTTTTTCTTATCATTAATCAGCCTCTTTTGAGCGCTGGCGTCATTAACTGATCCTGCAGTGTTCTGAACCTGTAATCTGCAGCAAGAATAGAAAGAGGAAGCTTCTATAAATGAACCCTATTCAGGCTTTTCTAAGCATTCTAAAAATCCCCTGTTGCTTTGGACAGATCTATAAGGTCTCTTATTGCACTATGAAGCACAGTTTTGAATTACTGTTTTTCATTACTGATGTGCTTTCAGCAGACCCTGCTGTGAGATAAAGTGGTATTCGAGTGGCATTACTGGCTGTGGAATGACTGAGAGACATATGGGGTTGCAATATACTCCTTGAAATAACAGACAGCAATATATCTATGAACCTTCATGCTAGAGGAGCTAGGGTAGAAAAATAAAGCACCATATACCCGCAAAAGAGATATATGCAAAACACTGTCTGCCAGTGACTACATCACGCATTAGGGGGGAAAAATGTTGAGGATCTAAAACCTTGTGGCAAGGAGATTTCTGGACCTGCCAGAATTTGAAAGAATCTAATTTCAACACACTGAAGGGACAATACTGAAAAGAAAACCTCTCTATCTATTCACTAAAGCAGGATTTGCCAACATAAGCCTCACAGGCCAAATTTGGCTTGCGGAACCACTGGATCCATCCCATGGAGATGCAGAGCTTTCCTTGTGTCCGTGTCCATGCTGTGGCTGAGTAGCAAATAGCTGCACCAGGGCCAGGGGAACTGGGAGCTGCACCCATGTCACTGCCATTTCTCCCCACTCCCTAAGGCTGTCATGCAGGCCCAGCTTCCAGTTGGTAGGGAGCTGCACTGGGGCTGGGCTAGGCTGGGCAGGAGGGGGCGAAGCAGGGATGGGGAAGAGTGGGAACAGCATGGAAGCAGCTTCTAGTTCCCCAGCACCAGTGTAGCCCTGTTCTGGCTGGAAGCTGCACTTGCACCACAGCCAGGGAGCACGGCAAGAGGGCTGAAAAAAGCAGCAGTGACGCAGGTGCAGCTCCCAGTCAGAGGGAAGCTGCGCCAGAGCCAGGGAGCTGAAGTCTTCTCCGATGCTGCTACTTTCAAAGACTTTCAAAAAGGGAATTGCTTATTGTGGACATGTTATTGATGCACAAGGCCTACATAAATCTCAAAAGAACACTAAAGTAGTTCTGAAAGCCCCACAGCCAAAAAATGGTTTTGAAACTTAGATCTTTCCTAAGGTGTATTAATTATTATCCTAGATGTGGTACAAATATCCTTTAAACTGTTTGCTGCAAATGAATCACAAATGGTTTGGTCATGTGAGTGTCAGAAAGCTTTACCAGAAGTAAAAAGCCTGGACATATCTGATAGAAGACTTGTTCACTTTAAACCATCGTTGCTCATTGTGATGCATCCTCACATGGTACTGGGGCTGTTACATCACATACTATGATTGATGGTACTGAATAGCCCATAGCGCTTGCATCATGCTCACTGACAGCACCAGAATGGAATTATGAACAGACAGACAAAGAAGCTTTAAGTCTGGTGTGGGAAGTAACCAAGAAACCAAGAAACATCCTACTAGCACAGGTGTATGAAGCCATACCGAAAGGTTAGAAACCTATGGATAAATGTAATTTAGCATTTTAAGCACCCAAAGGTAAACTTACCATACATCAAAAGTATGTCATGCAGGAGATTTGTGTTGTTATACTTAGCAAGTTGGCTACAAGCATTTTAGAAGAGCTGCATGTAGGTCATCTAGAACAGTGGCTTTCAACCTGTGGGTTGCAACCCAACAGTGGGTCGCAAGAATATATGAAATGGTCTCAAACAAACTTTAAAAATGAAATCTCCTTTAAAGGAGAAAAACGTGGGAAGCCATGGCTTTTCCCTTGCAGGCTGGCAGAGTTCCAGCCTGCAAGGGGCTGTTTGACGCCCCCCATGCCCTACACATACCCCACCCTGTCCCCCAACACACCCCCTGCCCCACACACTAGAGGGCTGGGGTGAGGGGTGCTGGGTCAGGACTGGTCATGAATGTTTACAAATGGGTCCTGGCACAAAAAAGGTTGAGAACTACTGACCTAGAAGTTATAAAAATGAAGGCATTATTAGCCAAAAGTTTTGCATAGTGGCTAGACACTGCACAAATAGAATGCTTTCTTAAGAAACGTACAGAATATCAGCAGGTATAGAATATGCCCAAACCACCACCATTCACACCCATGGGGATGACCATGCACTTCCTGGCAATGGCTCTATACTGAGTTGGCACAATTATTTTTAGGGATGATGTACCTAGTGGCGGTGGATGCCCACTCCAAATGGCAATACATTTTCTATATAAAAACCATTACAGCAGCACAGACAATGTAAAAATAGTTAAATCTGTCTACAAGAACAGGATTGCCAGAACAAGTTGTAACTGACACTGGCCCACAATTCAGTTCAGTTGAATTTCAAAGGTTCACAGATTAAAACAGCACCTGGCATATTAGTTCTGTACCATACTACCCAGCCACAACTGGGCTAGCTGAACAATTTTTACAATCTTTAAAAAATGTGTTGCTTTCTAAAAGAAGAGACCAAGTCAGTATAGCATAAGATAGCCCACTTTTCTTGCATACTGGAATGCAGCGCGTGCTACAATGAATGAGACATGGCAGTACTGTTTATAGACTGGATTCTCAGGTTACAATTGAGCTTATTAAAAATAGACTTGCAGCAGCATGTCATAAATAAAATAAGTTAGGCCTTGACAAGGGGAACAGGCGCCCCACAGCAGCTACACATAGACCAAACGGCCTACGATTACTAGGAAGTTAAAACAGCAGCCTGCAGTTGTGAGTGCACAAACATGTTCTTTGTCCTATACCACAAGTGAGCAAAGTCCAGTCTCTGGGCTGGCAGTAGACTCCATTTCCCAGCAGCCCCTGCCCACATGGCTGGAGCCAGTCTCCATGGAGACCCCAGCCACACCTGCACTGTGATAATGTAAGGCTGTGGTTGCCATGGAGACCAGCCCCAGCCGTGCTGGCATGATGTCTGGCAAAGCAGGACAGGGGGCTGCTCTGAAGCTGCTAGGATCTTAGGCAGGGGCCACTTGGTTGGGGTCAAGGCAGTACCACAATCTGCAGCTTCCATGCTCCAGCAGGACTGCGCAGGCAGCTGATCGCAGCTCTGCCCTGGCTTGGGACTAGGCTGTCACCACTGCAAGAAGCCGGGACAGAGCTGCGATCCGCTGCCTGAGCACCACTGCCTGGAGCATGCAGGCTGCAGATTGCAGCTCGGCCCTGACCCCGACCAAGCTGCCCCCGGTGCAAGATCCCAGCAGCTGTGGAGCAGCCCCCTGGCCTGCTCTGCTGCGAGAATGGCTGTGGCCCGTCTCTATGGCAACCCTAGCCTTGCGATATTACAGCAGCTGGGGTCTCCATGGAGACCAGCCTGACATATGGACAGGGGCTGCTGGGAAATAGAGTCCGGCTACCAGCCAGTTCCACCATTTTGCCCACCCCTGTCCTATACAGTGAAAATGTCACCTAATAGTGCTTAGAGTTGCCACATAAACCAATTACAGGATAAGTGTGATTGCCCAGTGGTGTACAGAAGCAACAGTTGCAGCCCCACCTATTGTTGAGCCACCAACTTTGCTTTGAAGCAAAGACCAGTAATGCTCCACAAGAAAGCAGCAATGCTGATTGGTCAGAACCAAATAATGCTAGGCAACCTACATGCAATGAGGAGATCTCTGAATCCGACATGGATAATGGAAGGCCATCCCCTCAGAACTGTGTTCAGGGGAGTAGTAGCCACTAACCTGTAAGCAAATGCGAACATGAACCTGTTGTACTAGTTGGTGCAGCACATCTCAGGGCAGCAGTCAAGGGGATCAGCATTAACCAGAAAAGAAACACAAAACACTTGCAGCCTGGGCATAACAGGCATTGATGCACGTGTGTCAGGAGTGGGGGCACTTTAATGAGAGCAGCTCTGAGAGCCACTCTATTTAAAGTGCTCAGAGCGTCACATGTATCAGTGTCCCCAGCCTCATTTAACATAGTTAGAGCTCCCCGCCACCATTTTTCAGCGTGGAGACACTGACACACATGATGCTGGAGTCTGTTGGAGCATGGTAATTACCACACTCCAGCAGACTCAATTAATCGAGTCTGCTCCAACACAGTGAAATTCCAGTACATTGGAGCAGCCTTACTGCACATGTATAGGTGACCTATGTTGCTGTCATATGAAAAGCAGGGGGATGAGGTGTGAGATATATGAATGCATTGAATCTGCACATGTAAATCTAAAGTTATTTTCTTGTTGAATCTACTAATGGCAATGAATATATACTTTTATCTTACCTTTACAATATATTCTCTGCTTGCCAGTCTGGCAGCTTTCTTTCCCATATTTGTGCCTAGAGTCATTTATTTATGAATGCCCAATATAAAAAATCTAAATAAAATGAAACTACTGCTTTATGCACACAATGCACACAATCTAGCATTTTCATTGACAGCCTTAGAAAATAAACCAATGACTACATGGTCATTAAACTGAATTTTAAGTTCTAGTAACAGACATTTTTTCCAGAAAAGTCATCCACATTCCAAAACCTTTCATCTGAGAGCTCACAACATCATCAGTAAATATGAGTTACAACCTCAGTGTTTTCACTGTTTACTTTTATAGCCTCACAATTTTTTACTCAATTTGAGCACTTAATAATCACAAGTGACATTTTCTTTCCTAGCAGCCTATTTTAATTTGGCCTTTAACTATCAGAATTAAATTAATATAGCACCTTGTTGAAGACCTTCCATTATCACCTCAGCTTTTTCCGAGCTATTTCAGAGCCTCCTACCTTTGAGCATTTCTCCAATACTTCCTCCTTAAACTGCAGAAACTTCTGCTGGATCTCTGGCTGATTAAGGGCAAAGGACAGGAAGTGTGTAAAAGGCTGCTTCTTGCGGAAACTCTCGAGCAGAACATCAATCCGTGTTTGGGCCGATATGACACCACTACGCTGCTGTCCTGTAATCACTAAAAGAAAACAAATAAAATTAAGCGCAACTTGTTAACAAATTTTGAGCAAGTTGGGAAGGGTGAAAAAATATTTTAAATGGACTTCGGGTCATTGCAACCAATCAGAGACGTTCACTGATTAATGGACAAAAACAAGATTAATTGTTGAAGATAAGCATAATCTTATGGGACAAGTGTTTCTCTACTACAGAGTAGTCTTGGCCTGCTTTTCCAGGCCGGGGGGGGGGGGGGGGCGGGGAATACTCCTTTAACACTCCACTTGGAACACAAAATATATTAATTAAAAAAAAAAAACCAAGCTGGCTGTGTGGGGCAGATTCCAGGCAGCCTGAGTGCAGAAGCCACAAGCAGCTGGGTAGAGCTACAGCAGGGAGAGGCGGGATGACCATTAAGCCAAAGGGGAAACCCCTGTGCTTAGAATCACCTCACTGGAAGAGGCAGCACCCAGGGCACATAAGCCAAGCACTAGAACTAAGGAGGGCAGTCTGGCCCCACATACTACATGGAGCAGATCTCCTATGGAAAAAGAGGCTCCAGCAGGCAGCCTGGCAACCACCCTCACCACCCATAAGAATGGGAGGTGAGAGCCCAAGGGGAGAGAGTGTTTGCAGGAAGGCATAAACCCAAAGTTGGGGGAAATTTTGTTGAAAGTGGTTGCTTGTATTTGTGTTGCATTTGAGTTGGGACCAGAGGACCGAGCTGTAGCTAAGGGGCCAGCAGGGAGGCCACAGGGATGCCCAAGAGGCATTCTGCATATAGCCCTGTAGGGTTCAGGGACCATAAGGGGGCTGAACAGCACCAGACCTGCCTGGCCTGGGCCGGGGACCCACTTGGCTGAGGGGTGCATAAGCAGCCTCGTCCAAGTCAGTGACCCCAGAGAGCTGAGGGGAGAGAGAAGAAAAAAAGGAACAGCCTTCCCTGGGTCTGGGACCTCAAAGGGCCCAGAACTTGGGAAGTGTGAGAGACAGGGGGCCAGAGGCCCAGAGACTGACATAAGAACAGAGCTGAGGCCAAGAAAGCCAGGCTTGAAAAAATGGGCCACAGCTGGAGGCTACCAGCCAGAATAACAGTGGACTAAAGCCAACAGGAAACAGGTCCCTACAGGAAGATCCAGGACATTGTCTGAATAACTTCTGCGAGGTATGAGGGTGGCTGTAGGAGTAGAAGGAGGCCACAAACAGGCAATGGGTGCCTTGAGGCTCTGGACAGGGCCGGGCATGCGGGGCAACTATGACTGGAAGGACAGAACTGAGGGTCAGCTATGTATGGGAAGAACCTGCTGGCCAACATAGACTAGGGCTTGATCTGGGGCCTTGGGACAGCTTCCCTTCTACAATAAAAATAATTCCATGAAGACATGGCAGGCAAAAGGAAAAGGTGGGGGGTACCCCAAGGAGCTGAAACAGGGTAAGAACCATGTGGCCACCAGGGATTGTCACAGCTGGGGCCTCGTCCTGCTACATCAACACTATCATTAGTGGGCAGCATTACTAGCAGCATGAATATGAGCATTTATACTGCTTCCTATTATTAATATTCCTCAAATATTTCAGGACTCATTGTGGCAGGCATTGTAAACAACAATCCCAACCCCAAAGAGCTCACAAGTTAAAGGACAAGTTTAAATAGGTATCTACTTGCATTACTATTTTCCTGGTTTATGTACATCACTTTTTCCCTTTAAACTTTATGACATGATATAGAATGACTGAGGAATAGATGAAGCAACAACATTCTCTTTGAATTGCCTGGCCACAGTAAACCTTCATACCTTTATCCCAAGCCTGAAAGAGGAAAGGTAGAACATTTTATCCCACAACATGTAAACAAGATACATTTTGCTAGGCTATTCATTTTACTTCAGATTCCTACATGACCTCTGCTTTCCTAAGTTAGGAGCATGCCACTAAAAAGGCTGCCCCCTCTTCTCAAGGAAGCTAGTTTCTAAATGTTTATTACAGTAACATCTACAATCCTCTCAGTTCAACTGCTCCTTAATGGTCTAGATCACCATTTAATATTCGCAGTTGGCAACTCCTTTTTAAAAAAAGAAACAAAACAACATGAAAATGTATGAAAGGTAAAAGTAATAATAAGCTTATGTATTATATATATTCAAATCTAATATGAAGTTTTTTCCTTATTCAAGCCCAGGGTCAGAGTTGGAACAGCAACCACCACTCACCTTCCCAACCCTGTCACCTCTTTGCTCTAGTCTCTGTCCCCCACTGCTGCTTACCTCCCTCTTGCAGCTCTGGCTCCTACTGGGGGCCACTCCAGCTGGGAAAAGGAAGCACAGAGCATCTGCTGCTTCCAGCCATAGCCTAATCATACAATGGCAGTGGCAGCTCTGGCCCTGACCTCAACACCTGCTGCATGGCCAGGCTTGGGCCAGAGGCAGCACATACTCTGTGCTCCCTAACCCTGGCAGAAGCAGGGCTTAAACAGACACCATGGAGAAGGTCAGACATCAGGGGGGACAAGTGGTAGGGGGTGCAAATAGCGGCAGGTACAGGCACCATGAAAGCAGATGCGTGGTGTACAGGCACCAGAGTGGGGCAGACAGTCAGGGGGGCAAGTGATGGGGGAGGACAGGGGTCAGGGCACTTGATTTCGCTGCTGCCTGCCCCACTGCCGCCTGCCCCCCTGCCACTGCTTGCCCCACTGCCTACATTTATACACAACAAATTTATACATTTTCCATGTATAGAAACTAATTATTGGGGGGGGAGGCTTTAAATTCAGAGTCATTTTGGATTCAGGTAAATATGGCAAATCATGTGCATCCTTCACAGGACTTGCCAAGAGGACTTGAAATAAAAGAGAAAGATTTTGAGGAGTGGGAAAGTGATCTTTTCTTTGCTTTAAACTGTAACAACACTTCCATCACCTCACAACTATCCTCATTTCCTTTCATGATTCCTGGAGGAGTTGTGACCCACTAGTTGAGAAACACTGGTCTAGCTGCTCACTTCTGTACAGAAATGGGTAATCAGATCATAGGGTTAAATTTTATTCAGTTATGTAATAAATCACAGTTAAAGTCTACACTAATCAGCACCATAATGCTCATAAAATGCCACAATGCAGGACTTCTTTTTGACATTCTATTCCTTCTGTACAAGCTAAACATATACAATAAGTTATGGGTATTATGATGTTCCCTTTTCCTACAAAAACAAGTATAACTAGAATACATGTTTCAAATGAGCATGTTTTCATTGTAAAAGTCTAATGACAACTACTAACAGTATATTTCTAAAATAAAAAGAAAGAAAACATAAGAACCTTTAATTCATTTAAAGTTAATTTCATTTGGATTTACAATGCAAGGTATTTTCTCTGAATGTGTACATATAATTCCCCATTGATAATAATGGTAATAAGAATCCTAGAGAAACTCAGACACATGTTAATTCTAAAGCCCATAAATGGTCTGTCAGACTTTAGTAGGATTACTCTCAGGCTTAAAATTATGTCTGTGCTTAACAGTTTGCTGGACTAGAATCTTAAATTGCATTTTTCATGCAAAAATCTTATAGCACTTTACAAACGTGAGCAAGATATCGAAGGTAAGTTAAAGTGTCAAATGACTTCCCAAGGTCATCGGTCAAGTCACTATCATGTCACAGCTAAGTATAGAAGCAAGATCTCCCAATTCCCATCTCTGTGCCCAAAATAGCATCAAAGGGAGAGTGGGTAAAATCACATTTCTGTCATGCACACTGAAGCTCACCAATTTCTCCTTCCATTCCAGGCTTTGGAATGCTGATAGATGTTCTGGTCTCCATTTCCAGCCTCTTCTTGGTTTCTCCTTTCTTCCCAATTATATACCTACAGGCATAAAAGTATAACGAAGTCAAATACAGAATGTCACTACTATCTTTTTCTGACCAGTGCTTTATTTAGAAGGAGAGGGGGCCAGGGAGGAGGAGAAGAATAAAGTTTACTATAGAATCTGTAGAAACTACTACATCATTCCAAATTCAAAATAGTGAACATGTACGGAGATCTACAAGACACAGACCAAAGGGGTACGATTTAGAGTAGTCATTTTTCATCATGCAGAGCTACAGCTGGGTATATACATTTTTATTTAAACACCACCACAGCATTGAGAAGATGATCAAAATACCTAGAAAAGGCTTTCCAGTCAGCTACCGACTTCCACATTAGCATTAGGTCATAAATCCTAAGTGCTCCCAGGGCTTTCACATCCACCCCAACAGAGCTGCTAACTCCAGTTTCCTCCCCATATTATTCCATCCTCCTATTTACTTTTATGTTCTGGTTAAGAGATGCCCAAGAGTACTGCCAAAAATACTGCCAATGGCAAGAAAGCAGAGTGTACAGTCTAATGCAGAGACAGTTAAGAGCTAAATGCAGAGTGTGGACATGTGGAAAGAAAGGGATCCCCTTTCCATTCCTTTTACCCTCCCAAGTACCAAACACTCCTCAAAATGAAAAATGTGTGAGGTGCATTTTCTACACCTGACCTCTGAGAATAACTGGCTCCTTTTGGTAAACCATAGCAGGTTTGCTAAACCATAGCAGGTTTGCTCACTTGTATAGTGGACTGGGGGCTTCCAATTTGCATTGAAAACCTCTCTCAGTCTCTTCCACTGTGAAGGCATCACAAGGCTCATCTGCACAATCCCCAGGGCCTTAAAAAGAAGTGGGAAAAAACCAATTAGAAACTTCTCTATAAAGACTAGGAGTATTTTATGTGGTTCAATATTCTCACCAGCCTTCTCCTCCCAAGGTTAAATAAAGGAACAAATTGGCTCCTTCTGTCACAGCCAACTGCATTTTATTTCACCTTACTACCCGCTCTGAAAAACATAATGACTACTTTTAAGTCTCCCAATCTTGGAAGCTTAAGGAAGTAGCAGTTACAGCCCAATACAGAACAGATTTTTTCTTGGCTGTGATTTGCACTACAGCCTGGTGGGATTTCCCTCCTCAAGTCCAAGTACTGTTCTGCCTGTTGGGCAGTAACCCACAGATCTTTTTAGAAAACAGAGCAACAGCAATGATAGCTTCAGCAGCAAGTCCTGAGAGACAAAGAAAAATAAAAGTTAATTTTGGTTTGAGAGCTCAAGTGTAATGGAAACAGTGTTTGGACAAAGAGGGAATTCTCATGCCTTCAGCAAGGAAACAAACACACATCTCCCACATCATGTCTGTTTTTAAGCCCAGCATAGTTAAATCAGAGAGAAAGGTATCGCATTAAAACATAGTCAAGGATGGGGAAACAGCTTATTAGAGCTTTGGCCGGTTCAGGGGAGAGAAGAGAAAACAGTAGTAATCATCTTCTCTACCTGAAAAATTATGGCAAATTGACCAAACACTCCAAAATAAGGATGACAAAGGAATATGAGAAAACCATGTGTTTTACAAAAATTTCAACATTTTTACTGATATATTTTTAAAACAAATTTAGAGAGGACATCATTTTGCTGCTTATTCCTAGTCAGTAAATAATTCATAGGCAGGTATCCAAGTCACCTTAATAATAACCCAAACTTCTATTCATAATTGGAATTTACTCCATTCTTTGGCCAAAAGGATAATTAGAGAAAAAGACAATTACAGTAAAAGACCTGTTATCCAGCATTTTACTAACCAGCATTTCTATTAACCAGAATTTCCAGCCACCTGCCCCGCTGCAGGGAATAGGGGGAAAGCCTGCACACAGTGGCCAACGCTGCCACCCACCACCCCACACTGTCGTTGCTCCATGTCCAGCCACCGCCATCTGCCCGCCCTCCATTCTGCATCTGGCCGGAAACCCCCATGCCTCAGGTAATCGTCATTTTTAGATTACCGGCACCTCCCCATTCCCCATTTGTGCCGGAAAACAGGGCTTTTACTATATTTCTCTACTCTATCCTGCAGCTTGAAGCCCTGGTTTTGCTGTGTGAGCAGAACCTTGTGCCCGTAAGCTGCTCATTGCAGATTAAGAGCCTAGGTCTACTATCTCCCTCTGACTATTAAATGAGAATTCCCCTACTTCATAACATGTTACGATCTCACTTCCTTGGCCCCTGAATATTACATTTCCTACCTGTATAGAAATCATCCTCCTCTTCATTCTGACAGGATTGCTCTTGAATGAAATTCTTCCTGTAAATGCACTCTCCAATCCTTATAAGTGTTGGACGCAGGACTTCCATTGGGCTCTTCTTGCTAGTAATAGCACTCTGCCAAAATAAAAATTAGTTCTTCTAGTATAGCCATAGAAAATAGAAATTCACAAGCTTTCCATATAGAGTTTCTGAAAAGATACTATAGAAGCATAAGGAGCAACACCATATTTTAGGTTAGTTCTGGACTTAAAGAGGAAATATAAATCCACATGAATAATAGAGTAACAGTGTATGTTTCCTAAATTTATACTATTTATTCTTTCCATATAAAATGAATTTTCTGAGAATTTACAAGTGAACAGTTAAAAATATAAAAATCTGTTAAAAATGAGAAGTTTTAAGAATGTAAAATAGTTACCACTGCCTGTCAGGTTTAGGATTTACTTTTTGCCCACAATGATCTTGGTTACTAAACAGAATAAATTCCCAGAAATTCCCAAGTTTTAATTCAAACTAATTAAACTAAAGGAGGCTATGATTTAATATCATATACAATTAGGGGTCCTTTTTCCAGCTACTCTTTGTAAATGGAATTCTTCTGTCAACTGCAAGTGAAGGAAATGTTGGTTTACTGCAAAGAATCGACAAAATAAAAAACAAAGTGAAAAAACAGACCTCTTTCAAAATCGTGGCCATCTACCAGTGTTCTCCAAATGACTACAGCCACAGATGCCCTGAGTTAGCCACCATTTTGAAAAGAGTTTCTCCCTCTAATTATTAATGGGATTGTTTGTTCTGCTCAAAGCATAGACATGGATGACAGCTGTGGCTTTAGCCGAGTTGGACTAAACTGAGATGACAGATAACAGACATTTTCTAAAAGGACCATCTTTTTTGGTAGCTACATTTTCAGTTATGAAAAATACAACACAAATTAATTAATTATGCATATCTTTTAAAAAAACAACCATTGCACTAGATCAACTCAAAAGATATGTCATGAGGGGCAGGAAAATGAAGGTGTACATGTCTACATGAAGGGGTTTTGGGGGTACATGTATACAGAGTAAAACAGGGAGGTCCAAAGAAGAGAGGAAGTTTGAGATTATATTCAGGGGAAGCAACAGGAAAGTGGAGAAGACTAGAAATTTGGAGGACATGAGAGAAATATTGCTGAACCCCTTGTTATTTTGTACTGTTTTTGTAAAACAAAGCTGCTGTAAACCCAGTTTAACCACCACATACGCTCTGGCTGTTTTGTGATGATCAAATGGCGTAAAACAATCACTGCGTATGCACAAATTTGTCCCTAAAAGTTAAAAACTGTAAAAAATTATTTAATATTGATATTTCATCTCTTTGGTGCCTTAGACATGCAACGTGGTAACATTCTGCTTTCTTATTTAGGGCTCATATAGTACATTTTTAATTAAAAAGGAAATCTCATAGGAAGAACTAAGTTAAAGTGCAATTATGGTTGAGGCATACATATAAAAAAATTATGTGAAGCTACATTATGAGGATGTTGCTTTTATCCCAGAATTATGCATTCTAAATGTGATAAATTCAGTTTATCTTAAAAGAAATCTAAGCATTTAAACTATGGAAGAAATAGGGTATATCCACACAGCTTTCACTTCATCACAGTCTTCAACCTTATATAGCTGGAACTCAATTAAAAATGTCTTGTAGATTTGATTTATTTAAAAAAAGTACTCCAACTAGTTTTTATAACTGAGAGTTTCTCTTTTTTCAGGAACTTTGCATATGCTTTATGGAGACAGAATGGGAAAAACAAAGCAGCGTAACACATTTTTAAAAGTCATTTTACTTTGAATTTCGGTCCACAAATACATTGTCACAGATTCACTGTCTTTCTTAAAACCACAGCAATTGTCAAGAGATTATAGAAGAACCATGATTGTGATTTAAATAAAAATATACCCTGCTATGTCTCATGGTTGTGGAGAAAAAATAGAAAACGGACAGCGTAGACAGGCATAGTATTTTTCTGGGGGGAAGTCTGTGCTGAGATTGTAGATTTACCGATCCGCTGTTCCTATTTAAGTGGCTGTGTGGTCCCCCCCAGTGCTGTGCATATGTAAGTTTATAGTGGTAATGTGAGAGTGATGCTGTAGCTGTGATGGTCCAGATGTTATGCATGAAGTAACAATTTCTTAGCGATGTCTTTTATAGGGACAACTATGGAGATACGATAAAATTAGACAAGTTTTTGAATGCAAGACATTTTTCATCAGGTCTCTAAAGATTTCTAACTTTATCCCAACTACATAGTTGGCCCAGTTAATAGTGGCTCATTCATATTAACTGTCAGGCATTGCAGGACAAGCTTGTCAGGCTGTGCGCTCTCTTTGGCCACCTACCCGCAGAGAAGCAGCAATGCAGCTTGGAAGGGCGCTGTGGGTAAAGGCTCCTCTTTTGTCCCAGGTTTTGACTTGGATCAATCAGGACTCCCTCAGATACAGCATCTGTTCACAGCCTGGGATGCAGGCACCCTAAAAGCTTTAAAAAAACCTAATGAAACATAAGCTGCGTGTCTCAGATTTTTTTCTATGAGCCCTTTGGTTTCATGATTTTAAATTCCATGGACCTTCAGAGCCTGCCAGACTTGTGATTTCTGAATGCTTGAGGTTGGCAAATTGCACTAATGCTGAGATCCAGCTAACAGAGCTAAACGAGGCAGCATCAGAGCCCTCAGGCCCCTGCAGACTTACACCTGCAACGAATCACAATATACCCCGCGGTAAAGATATCTGTCCCAGGATAACCATGGTGCATCCAGCACAAAACAGGTGCTGTTTTGAAGAGCGGGTGCTTTGTCAGGCCGTGACACATCTACCGTATGGCCAGCCCCACCCTCCCTGTGTCCCACAGTTCCTGCCCACAGCCGCCCGCTCACCCAGGCCCCACGCGAAGAGGAGGGGAGGGGAGGGGCGGGGCGGGGCCGCGAGGCCCCGCCCCCCGCGACGCCTGTATGACGGACAACGCCGAGCGTACTCGTGCTCGCGCAACATGTACAGCGAGCACGAGCACGCACGCCGCCTGCGCCCAGCCGTCCGCGCGGTCAGGTGAGGACGGGGGAGGTTGCCGGGCCGAACTGGGGCGGGGTGGGCTGCGGTGCTGAGCTGCCTGGACCGGACCGGAACTGGTTGTAGCAGCCACCGCCGCACTCACCGGGACACGGCTCAAGACCGCGGACGGGAAGGGCGGCGGTCGGTGAGGGAGCACGGATGCAAGCAGTAGCGCTCACTTCTGTGCGCGGGCGGCGGTTGCTGCCGCCCCCTGCCGCGCAGGCGCAGAAAGGGTGAAGTGATTGGTGCCCACAGTGCCCCCTCTTGCGCAGGCGCAGGAACTGTGGGGAAGCTCCTGCCCGCAGTTTCCCTTGTGTGTGCAGGCGCAGAAGTTGCAAGCCCGTCCTTCGCTGCTCCCAGCCGCCACGTACGCGCGCAGGCGCAGTAACTGCGGAGAAGTTCTTGCCGGAGCCTGTGCTGCCGCGCTCTGATTCTGTCTCTCTCTCTGTTGCCTCCAGGTCGGGACAAGGAACCATGGCGGCCTCCTCCTCATCCTCCTCAGCTGGCGGAGTCAGCGGGAGCTCGATGACCGGCTCCGGGTTTAGTGTCTCGGACTTGGCCCCACCACGGAAAGCACTCTTCACTTATCCCAAAGGAGCTGGAGAAATGTTGGAAGGTGCGACGTCTCCCCCCAGACGCGCACACAAGTCCCAGCTGGAGCCCACGCTGCCCCTGGCTTGGCTGTACCTGGCAAACTTCAATTGCTAAAGGGAAGGGCGTTGGTGCAGGGAAAGGCTGGCAGAGGTCTCACTTCCAGAGTCTCCCTGCCCCACGGCCTGTCCTTTCTTCCTAACCGGTCCAGTTCTCGTGCACTTAAATCTGTTCATTTCTAAAACTAAGTAGGACTTCTCTGTAGCCAACAAAACTAAAAATCTCAGGCTTCTCAGGAGGAAAGACAGAAGCAGAGCGGGCTGCTCTCCCTTATTGTTGGTTTCATCTCTGTTGAGCAAAAATGACAGGTGATTGATGTGACTGTATTTAGTGTCATAAATTCACATTGCTGGCTGGTTTTAGCACAGAAACAGACTGGAAGCAGCTTGTGCCTCTGTTACCGAGGAGCTGACAGGCCTGTTCTGCCTTCGCTATAGGTTAATGCTGTGTTGAGAGTTACGTTATACCACTGCTTCACGTGATGGTTGATGTCTTCTGCTGCCTCTCCCCCATAAACCCAATAGCATGGAAAGAACTTGTGGAAGTGGTGCCAAGCCATGTGCAGGACTAAGCTGCAGGACCATTGCAATAGGGTTGGGCTCACAACATGGCCCTTTCACAGTTTGGCTGTGGGGCTGTATTACAGTGATCATTCAGGGCTGTGGTGCTTTTTTTTCCCTCGCATCATTCCAGGGAAGTCACAGCAAGGCTAACCTCAGTCTGTTTTGTTTGATTTTTATGAAATGCTCTTATGTTAATCTGAAACCTAATCCTGAGGTCCTCTGCAGCTAGATCTTGCCCTATGGGAGCTCACATGATGCATACATATTAAGAAACTACTCCTACTTCCCCTGGATTTTACTTGCATTTCATATAATTTGTATTTTCTGCCCCCTTTCATTTTAATTGTTGGAAGGGGAGAGTGCCTGAGCACGTGGAAGGGTCCTTCAGTTGCCTGATGCGCTGCTTATCAACCTGGAATTTAAACTCCATTTTAGTTCTATAGGACTGGGGTTTTGTAAGGAAGTGCTTTGTGTCTAGTTATGAATCTGATGCAACCTGTTTTCTTAACGTGCAGTTTGGCAGAGTAATAGATTTGCTATCTAACCATCAGGTTTGAAACAGCCTTTAGTTCCACTGAGTTTAGTTAAAATCTTAACTGTTAACTCTGCTCTAGAGAGAATGAGAGCTATGCAGTTTACTTAAAGGAGGAAGGTCTTGTCTGCTGAGGTTGTACCCATTGCCCTGTCAGCGCAGATGATTGTCCCAGTGTTTGTGGCTGGAATTTTCCTCCTCCCTGTAGCTGTGCAATGAGCTGTGTGTCATCAGCTGACTGCAGCTCTCTACTTCAGAATGACCACATTTTGCTGAAACTTTTAAATTCAGAATGAAAGGCATAGGATATGTCAGACTGATCACCATACTTGGGATCAGGAAGGAATTTTTCCCCATAGTCAGATCAGTATGAGCTGTGGAGGTTTTTGCCTTCCTCCGTAGTGGGGGGGCATGGCCCTCTGCCTGGGATCTCTTGACCATACATTAATAACGTTTTGTAGAAGTAGGACATTGGTTGCTGTGTTTCCCCTGCTTCACTTGTGGCAGATCCGGGTGTTAGGTCCATGTTGCATCAGGGTTGACAGTAGTCCTATGTAGAGTTTAGATCTGGGGCAGGCAAAGTCTGGCCCAGGGGCTGGACTCCATTTCCCAGCAGCCCCTGCCCACATGGCTAGGTCCAGTTTCCATGGAGATCCCAGCAGCTGCTGCACTGTGAACAGGTGGGAGCTGGGGTTTCCATGGAGACTTCATTCATTTTAATGAATTCTCATTAAAAAAACTGGGGGACTGTGGCGTCGACACCTACACCGTCAGATGGGTCACTAGTTGGCTGGAGGGCCACATCCAGAGAGTGGTGGTGGATGGGTCATTTTTGACCTGGAGGGATGCGGGCAGTGGGGTTCTGCAGGGCTCGGTCCTTGGGCCCGTGCTGTTCAACATCTTCATCAGCGACTTGGACAAGGGGGTAAAAAGCACCTTGTTTAAATTTGCAGATGACACTAAGATGTGGAGAGAAGTGAGCACACTAGAAGGGAGGAATAGGCTGCAGTCGGACCTAGAAAGGTTACGGGAGTGGGCGGATGAGAATAGGATGGGATTCAACAATGACAAGTGCAAGGTGCTGCACCCAGGGAGGAGGAATCAGCAGCATACCTACAGGCTGGGGAACTCCCTCCTTGTCAGTGCAGAGGCAGAAAAGGATCTTGGAGTCCTTATTGATGCCAAAATGACCATAGGCCAGCAGTGTGGCGAAGCTGTCAGGAAGGCCAACCGCACCTTGTCATGCATCTCTAGCAGATCCAAGGAGGTGATCCTCCCCCTCCATGTGACACTGGTCAGGCCACAGCTGGAGTATTGCGTCCAGTTCTGGGCGCCGCACTTCAGGAGGGATGTGGACAACATGGAGAGGGTCCAGAGGAGGGCCACTCGCATGATCAGGGGGCAATAGGGCAAGCCCTATGAGGAGAGGCTAAGGGACCAGAACCTGTTCAGCCTCCACAAGAGAAGGCTGAGGGGGGATCTAGTGGCTGTTTACAGACTGGTCCAGGGGGACCAGCGGGCTTTGAGGGAGTCCTTGTTCCCCCAAGCGCTACCGGGATGACTAGAAATAATGGTCACAAGCTGGCAGAGGGTAGATTCAAACTAGATATCGGGAAGTGCTACTTCATGGTCAGGGCGGCTAGAATCTGGAACCAACTTCCAAGAGAAGTGCTGGCTCCTACCCTGGGGGTTCTTTAAGAGGAGGCTAAATAAACACCATGTTGGGGTTGTTTGACCCCAGTACTCTTTCCTGCCATGGCAGGGGGTCGGACTTGATGATCTGCTCAGGTCCTGTCCAACCTTACCAACTATAAGACAATGAAACTATTGCCCCGGCAGCACTGGCAGGGCAGGGAGCTCCTTCAGGGCCAGGCTGAGGCCTTGCAGCTGTGATAGCATGGTCGGGAGTCAGGGCAGAGCGGCAATCTGCAGCCTGCATGCTTCAGGCAGGGGTGTGCAGGCAGTAGGTCATGGCTCTGCCCCAGCTCCTTGCAGCAGTGACAGCATGGTGCAGAGCCATGGAAACTGGCTCCAGCCATGGAGGCAGGGGCTGCTAGGAAATGGAGTCTGGCCACTGGCCAGAGCCACCATTTTGCCCACCCCTGGTTTAGATTATGGTTTGGATAGGGAATCCTGCCTCAGGCATGGGGGTTGGACTGGATAACCTTTGGAATCCCTTGGAAGCTTCCTTCCATGGGAGTCCACATATCAGACTGTTGAAATAACTGATTAAAGACTTGTTTTGAGGAGTCATTGAGTTACACAAGCAAAAAAAAATGGAACACTTCAAGTTACTGAATTGGTGAGTAATTCGTTCACAGAACAGAATGAATGGTATTTACCCTGGGAAGGCTAGGAATACGAGTGTTTCATATAATTCAAGATGTAGGAAGTGCTTCTACAGCATTTTAAAATAATAATGAACATTAACTTGCTTTTATCTGAGCACATCACTAATATAGTAGAAAGCATTTTCACAGGAACAGAGGTTTGGAAGCTGAGTCAATGTGACAATATGCTGATAATGGTAAACAGTATACCAACCTCTCACTCCTCTCTCATGGAATTAGATCCTGGGATTAAATTTTGTTCCAGAGCCCTGGTGGCAGGGGTAACTCACTCAAAAAGCACTGACTTGTGAAGTGTTCTCTTTTCCTAATCTAGTAGGCTTTCGGGCATGCAGCAAGGTGCATTTATTTGATTTAGCTTTTGGTTGATGTGTTGTTTCCTGATTAAGATGGGGATTAATGTTTCACATGACAGCAACCATTTCCTGCTATATGTATTGCAGGAAGTTTTGTTTAGTTTAGGTTTTTAATTTCTGAGATAAAAGACCACACGCATCCATTCTTTCTTTCAAATCAATGCAATATATATGTTGGCTGCCTTTTTTTTGAAGGAAGCCAGTTTAAATACTAATAAACACAACTGAATTACATTCTTCTTTCAAGTAATTTTAGCTATTTTCTTTAAAAGAAACCCTTTTGATTCTTTAAGGGATCTTGAAATTACTGTGGGTAACATCAAGAGCAGACTGAAATCATTCTGTCATTTGTCATGTCATTAACAATGTTACAAATTCCTTTATTTCTAAGGTAACTGTGAAATCAGTTAATGAACTGGATTGTAAGAGCCACAAGAAATTTTAACATACCTGCAGTGGGTTAGAATTAAGCTATAAAAATTCATAAAGTATAAAAAATGAATGTTTGAGCCCTGAGGGAAGCAGGGCTTCTGAGGACACTAACTGATTTCAACTTGGTTTGCTTTCTATTTAAAATCCACTAACTTCAATTGCAAAAGAAGTGTGATGGAACATTCCTGAATTTGTAGCATTCCTGTAAATACAGCCAAGTATTTGGCTGTAAACACCTCTTATGAATGATTAAGATAAAGAAAAGATGTAATAAAAATGATTATTCTGCATTGGAAATCTGACTGTTTCCATAAATTAGCTTTGTTCAGTTTCTGGTGAACTTGTTAAATTCACTGTCCAGGGGCCCTATTGTGCAGCTCTTATCCAGGCAAAGCTCCCAATGGCTGCAGTGGGAAGGGCTTAAACTCCATTCATCTTGCTGAGCACAATGAAAGATGTTGGGTGGTCTCTCACCCTGTTGATAAGAATTGCAAGTTTAAAGCAAGGCCACTATCTGTTCCCTCTCCATTCAGGCCGTGATTGTGAGACGCCTGCAATAGGCCACTTGTGCTACCTATTTTCATATTCCTCTGCACTGCTGCCATCCAAGCAAGGTGTAATTCATGCTTCTGAATTGGGGGTCACTATAACTTCCCAAGTAACCATTTTACAGCTGTGCTCAATTATGATTCTCCTAACTTTGTCCAGGATGTTCTCTGGTACCAACAGTGTTTGGCCCTATAACAGACTGTAGAAGGCTTGAAACTTAATTGAAATGATAGCATTTTAGTTGCAATTAAGTTGCTTTTGAAAGTATATGTCATTGACAAAATATGTCACTTTGTAGTTGAAGTAGGCAAGGTGATTCTTAACATTATTTTAGAAAAGTAGGAAACATTCAGCTTTCTGAAACACCTTTCAAACTCCTATCTGACACTTAAATTCTATGCTGGTAAATACTGTGACTACTACAAACGCAGCTGGAGTTCACATGCTGAATTTATTCAAATCTGCTTCATGATGGAAGAAAACCTTGGCCAGAAAGCCTAGACTTTCTTTAATCGAAAGGTTGTGGCATCTTTCATTTCCACCTGGGCAGCAGCAGCTTCTAAAAGGGAAGGCATGACAGCAGAGGCAGCAGCAACAGCACATCCATCCCAAGTTGCTTGCAGTATCATCCCTGGATACCAGCCAGAAAGCCCTGGAACTTTGGTCTATGGGCCAGAAAGTTGCACATGCAAGGGTTGCATTTTTCTCAAGTAAGAGAAAACATCTGAAGTAAGTGACAGAGGGTAAACCCACACCAAACCTAAGTGTTCCAACACAACAGGCCTGCAGCACTTGCTTAAAGCTTCTCAATAAGAACACTTAGCACTTGTCATTAAAACACCTCCCTTTTCTGTTTACAGATGGTTCAGAAAGATTCCTTTGTGAATCTGTTTTCAGCTATCAAGTTGCATCTACATTAAAGCAAGTGAAACATGGTAAGTATTTGCATATTTTATATTTGACTTTGTGTAGATAAGTTTACTGTAGAAGCTGAAGACAAGGATGTAGAAAAGGCTAGTGGGTGCTGTGGTATGAGCCACAAAAAAGCAGAATAAAATCTTTGAAGGTCCTGAATTATCACTAAGCAAGGCTATTGTTAGTTCTTGTGCCATGCTTGAAGAGAGACACAAGTTAAACAGGCAGTTGGTTATGGGAGTCTAACAGTATTTCTAACCTTGTTTTTCTGTTGCTCTTTGTGGTACTGTATGCATAAGAGGTGAGGTCTGAACTTGCTTATACAGTGTTGAGGATCAATTAGAGTGTGTAGAATGCTTCGAAAAGAAAAGTTGCTACATGCCACTTCAGTTTCTGCTTCTCTTCTCTAATCCTTTCCTGTGGCCAGAAAGGGATGGTAGTTTTTTTGACTGTGCACAATCCAATTAAATCAATAAGGCCTTACTCTCCAGCTGTTGACAAAGCCTGAGTTTACAGTAAATCTGTATTTGTTCCTTATGATATCATCCTTTCTGGCTACTCTACTTCATTGGGTATGTGGAACTAACATTTCTGTAACTGTCAAGCATTTGAGATGCTTTCTATACAAGTCAGACCTCCAAGGACTTGCAGCAGCTGAAAACCTTCAAGAATGTCTTTGTATTTCAGACCTGCTGCTACAGTTGAATATCAGTGAAACTGAACTTCCTTAAGACTGTTAACCAAAATCTCAGAGGAAGTGAACAAAGCATTACTGTCATGAGTTGCTTAGTTGTAGTCTAACCAATGTATATTGTGTGCAGCCAACCAGGCACACAGACTGGGAGCAATAAGGGCTAGGCCTTAAAATTAAGCAGCAGTTTCTTTGCCTAAAAGCATTTAACCTCCTTTTTTTTTTTTTTTTTAAATGTCAGTTGATTTACAGTGTTTACATTTCAGGTCCAGCCTTTACTAATAAGTTGTTACAGGACTGTATAATGAGAGTAGGGATAGGCATGCCATACAGCTCCCTGATAAAACTTTGAAGTCGTTTGAAAACTTTGATATCAAACAGTACTTTTTTTTTTTTAAATACAACCATCAGAGGGATGATTTACCTTTATTCCTTGATGATATAGAAAAGACCTTTAGTGGCAGTGCCTTCATCCCTTCTTTTTTGTAATTTATTATATTCTGACTACAAAGTCAGAATTTTTAAAATGGTTATAAAGACCTCTTAAAATTCTCTCTCTTTAAAGGGGATGGTTCCTCATATTACACTGCAGTTTTATCTCAAGCCCCTTGGAGGTCTCACTTTTCCCTTTATTGGGTTATTTTACTCCAGAAAGGTTAAGATACAGAACTGATTAGTGACCATTTGGGCTATAGAAAGTAACTCCACACTGTCTTGAGTTTCCTGCACTAATTATGTTGTTTCATGATCTTTGATCTTTTGGGCCTCCGATTTGTTCAACAGTATGCAGAGAAACAAATTAAGTATGGAAGATGTAATATTAATCACTTATACAATCTAACAAAGTCTTTACTTCATATAGAGAAAAATTAGAGAAGTGTTTTCAATAATTGCACTATTCTGTTACAAAATGGTATAAAACTACTTCCTAGTGACTGCATTACTGGGGGAAAAGATTTTTTTTTTTTCCAAAGGACTATATATGCCTAATTAAGAAATTTAACTGAAAATTTTCATGCAAACCATTATTTGGACTTCTTGTAGATCAGCAAGTTGCTCGGATGGAAAAACTAGCTGGTTTAGTGGAAGAACTGGAGGCAGATGAGTGGAGATACAAACCCATTGAGCAACTGCTGGGGTTCACCCCTTCATCAGGATGAAAGCTTTTGGATCACTGGCGTCAAATGATCGAACAGATGCAGCCTCTGGACTGTTTTGTGTGTTGTTTGTTTTTTGGTGGGGGGGGGGGTTTAATGGGCTGCCATTTTTCAGGATGCTCACAGCTGTGTCCCTGACAGCTCTGTTACAGTATCCAGTAAATGGCAACTACAGAACCTCAGGCATTTTGTAATACATCAGCAGGATGCAACTTCTGTGTCTTTGTTAGATGCATCAATTTTAAAGAACTTGGAGAGTAACCTGTATGTTTATTTAAAGTAACCTTCCCTTCCCCTTTTAAAGAGAGACAAAAACCTCATACTCTCTAGAGAGTATATTTGTGCCTGCAGTAGCCAGGTTGTCAGTCATACTGAACTGGATACTTTTTTTTTTTAATTATTCAGTTATTTGATAATGCCCTACAGGAGCTTTCCTTGAATAGAAAAGGTATTTGACTCTTGAACTCTTCCTTTTTGAAGATGAATAGGATAAAGAACCATGCAAGATAACTAAGGATGACGAATGTTAAACTCTTCTATGTCAAGATCATCTTAGCTTTGCTGAGGCTTCTCTCTCTGCTTCTGCTTTAACTATATACAGCACTGGGAGGAAAAAACTGCTGCTTACTGAAAACTCTGAAGCTCTTCCTTTACCATGATGTACTAGATCCCTTCCATGGCAAATAAATAATTTAAACGATGATAAAGTCTGTTTCCTTTCCTTAGACTTTAAAATTTAGAAAAGAAAAAGGAACCAAGTTGCTCCGTAGCACCATATTTGCATCTATAAACAAGAGACAGTATATTGTGACATAAGCTAACTGCTATTTAAAGAAGAAAAAAACCAAACCTTTGTGAAATTCATTAAATAAGCATAAAAAATTCATTAAACAAGTGAATTGCATTCATGGCTGCTTTGATGCAAATGCCCTTTAAGCAATGTAAAACTCCATATTGATTTAACCTTTCATGTTCTGATATTTCCATGTGGATATAAAAAAAAAATCTTTATTCAAGGAATGAAATTAAGTGCTGATCCCTTGATCTCCAGCC